AACTTTCGTGGACTACAGCCCACTTCTTCAGATGCATCCGAAGAAGTGGGCTGTAGTCCACGAAAGCTTATGCTCTAATAAATGTGTTAGTCTCTAAGGTGCCACAAGTACTCCTGTTCTTTTTAAGAAAAAGTATATTCTTCTTCTTTTTTTTAATCTTACAAATGTTCATTCTATATCTTAAAGGTGTTTTAAATCATGAGCCCTGTAAGGAAGCCATTTATTCTGCCTCATGCAATTTAAATGCACCACTTTATATGGGAACAGAAATTTGCTCCTGCCATGTGACAGCTGCAGCATTCTTTGAACTGGATACATTTCTTAGATTGAAAAAGCACATAAAAGTGACATTCATTGTAAATGGATACAAGCCATAAAGTTCAGATCAATATCCAATTTTCCCTCTGAGTTTGGGGGTGTTTGAAGATGCTCGTCTACTCCAGCTTATAGTGTTTCCTTCCCATCCCTGGATTCCCCTTGAATTGAGCTATGGGCTCTCTATCTAGCAAAGAAGCTCTGATACTTGTCACAGGGTCGGGGAGCCTAGAATTTCAGGGGGGAAATTCACATTCCTTAGTTAATGGTGGCACATTCACTCCCACCAGGTATGTCTTGCAACCCCTTCCCACCCCCTCCGTGGTCCCCTTCCCTTCAGAGTGTCGCCTCCCCCCCAGTGAGGCCCCTCCCCATCCCCTCCCCTCAGTGAGGCCCCTCCCCATCCAGTGTCCCCTCCCCCCAGTGAGGCCGCTTGCCCCCCCATCCAGTGTAGCTCCTCCCTCCATTGACGCCCCATCCCCTCCCGTGTGGTCCCCCCTCACCCAATGTGACCCCCTTCCCCCATCCAGCGAGGCCCCATCCCCCACACCCAGCACGGCTCCCCCCCCCCCCAGCGAGGCCCCAAACGCCCCCTATCCAGTGCGCCTCCCGCGCCCACCCCCTCACGACTCCCTGCGGCGACCGAGCGCTGCAATTGGGGCGCTCTATGCACCACGTGACACAGGTCGTCCCAGCCCCGCCCCCGGGGAGTCCCCTGCGTGGCGTCAGCGCGCCGTGTCCGTTAGGGGCGGTGCCCGCTGCTGAACCACAACACTCCCCCGGCACGTGACCCGGGAGGGAGCGCCCCACGTGACGCGGCATGGAGGCGGTGGCGGAGACGACGAGCGGCCCCCTCCTCCTCCTGCTCGGGAGTCGCTAGCGGCGCATCCCGGGCTCCGAGCCGGCCGGGCTGCGGAGGCCATGGACTGAGCGCACCATGGGCGCCAAGGAGTCGCGCATCGGCTTCCTCAGCTACGACGAGGCCCTGCGGAGGGGTGCGTGAGGGGGCAGGTGGGGGGATACGGGCTGGGAGGGGTCTTGGAGGGATGGGGGGCAGGGCAGGCTAGGGGTGGAGAGGCGGCGTTGGGGGGGGTGAGGGAGGAGAGGACGGATGTAGACGATACCCTGGGGGGCTGTCACAGGAAGGGAGGGGAGGGGTGGGGGTGTAAACACCCTGGGGGGCTGTCACGGGAGGGGAGGGGTGGGGGTGTAAACACCCTGGAGGGCTGTCAGGGGAGGGGAGGGGAGGGGGTGTAAACACCCTGGGAGGCTGAAACGGGGAGGTTCATCACGGGGGGGGAGGGGGGGACAGATGTAAATATCTTTCTGGAGCTGTCAGTGTGGGTCGGGGTAAGTGGCCCAAAGTGCCTTGGCATTCCTGACACCAGCATTATAGACTTCAGATACAGCGGCTCTTGTACCATGGCTGCTGCTTATTCTTCCTTTTTACAAGAGCTGAGCGGCAGCTGTTGTAAGACCCTCCTGGTGCAGCCTGTGTCCTGCATCTTTCTGCACTTACTTGTCAGTTTTAGCAGAAACATACAGTGGCCTTTGCCTCCCCTTTACTCTTCTGTGCAGGTTTGGCTGGTTTGGATCATGCACAGATTAGCTGTGTTTTGAGGTGCAAAGGGTCTAGACGGCTGCTGATGCTGTAAGGCCACTGTTCTCTTACGGCAGTCAGCACCTCCTTTGCTTGTCACGTCTCAGTTCCCCCATCTACAGTATAAAATGTCATTAGGAAATTCTGCATTCTGATGTGATAGGAGCTGGCTTGCTTTTCCTTTCATGGCACTGCCTGTCACTTCATAGTTTTCACATATATATTAGCCCCATGCATATATTAGCCCCATTACTTGCTGCTGTCCAGAATGGGGAGTGTAGTTTTCACATACCTCTCTCCTCCCTCCCACATTTACTTGCTGTTGTCCAAGGTGGGAGTGCACACACACTTATTTAGATTGGTGGGTAGAAGTGGCTTCTATGCTTTTGATGTACATTGTTTTCATAATCTTTTTTTGGATCCCTTCTGGAGAGTATTAAGACAAATAGAGAAGTGAAAGCATACTTGTTAAATGATGAATACAGCTAGCAGGGTTCTAAAACAGTGAACTAACTACACTCGGTCATCTGCCTTTCTCGAGATTTTATTTCCAAGGACAAAGAGGGAGAATAATATTCTGTGCTAAATGCATTGCATTTATGGTCATTTTTATGTTACTTGTTATTGAGGAACTGTAGGCATCTCTTGGTGATGTATTATAAATAGGACATAGACGGTTCTAGGCAGTGCACCTGTTTGATATACACAAGACTGATGAAATTCACAGGCCTAGTCTAGTGTCAGAAACATATGGCTGCTTAGTTCTTTCCTTGCCATAACTCAGAGTAATATATAGTGATTGATCCTGGAGTGTCTGAAAGATTGTGGGTTGATTGAAGGGGTACCTTAGATGTATATGAAATATACATATTTTTATTGTGAAAAGCATTTTTAAAGCTTTGAGGATTGCATTTACTTAGGGAAGCTATCCCAGATGGGTAAAGAGACATAAAACTGAGCAATATACCCTAAATGCTATGAAATAGGAAAAAGGAGTGAATGTATCAGAACTGGCTTTCAGTTTAGATTTAAATTTTCAGGATTTTGAAATCTGTTTAACTTCTGGTAAGAATATATTAAGTCCTTTTATAACTTCTGGTATTTAAATGGTGTGTGTGTGTGTGTGTGGGGGGGGGGGGAGACAAATGTAACCTGCTTATATTCTGGAACAGACTGAATATTTAATGCAACAGGAAGTGTTTGATTTTAGCTGATTGGTGGAAGTCAAATTCACTTGGTCAAGTTGTGTGTGGAAACTTTACATATTTATAAAACATGTAATAATCATAATTTGAATTCTTAACCTTTGGTCAAGTTGTGTGTGGAAACTTTACATATTTATAAAACACGTAATAATCATAATTTGAATTCTTAACCTTTGAAGGTACTGCACAATTTAATTTTAAAGACAGTCAGTTTTAAAAGTAAGTTTGTGAATGCAAGATTTCCTATTGTAAATTAAATTTTCTATATTAACTTTTTAATGGTGAACTGAATCTAATCTTCCGCCACAGTGAGTTTTGAATGCAGTAATTCTTTTGGAGACTAGAAAGGTTGTTCTAGTATCTTTTGTTATAAATTGATGTTTTGCCAAACAACTATTTTGTTTATTTAACCAGAGTTTTTTGTATGTGCAAAACAGTCTAGTTATCAAAACGTTATTTGTTAAGGCTATCCTTCTCTAGATATTGTGTACCAATACAGTGCTATTTCTGTAGATACTGAACAGCAAGCAGCGATGATAAATTATAAGCACACAGACTTAAAAAAACTAGTTTACTGAAGTTTATTTTTGTGTGGTTATATGCAACCTTACAAAATTTGTATTCAGCTATTAAACAGTAATAAAGTATGTTTTCTTTTAAGTCACCTGCCATTTAGATTACACATCTCTTTCAACAGTCCGTTGCTCCACATAAAATTTACTGTGATTAAATAGTTTGCAAAAGCAGTAATTGCTCAGAATGCTGTTAAAGTACTTTATAGAAACAGTACTTGCAGTTAAATTGTTAAAATGTGCCCAGTATTATTTTCTTCAGAGGAAAACACAGTGCATGCATTTGGTTCTGTCAGACTGGCAAAATGAGGCTTATTTCAAAATAACAAAATTATCAATGGCAGGAGTTTCATTCCTTCTAGTACCTTGTTAAATATCGACCAGAAAAAGGGAAAAGTCTGTTTCTGAGGCTGGGTATTTGGTAATTAAAACTTACATTTTTTTTCTCCCCCCAAGAATACAATTAAGGGCAGTCTGTCTAATGGCTTCTCAGCCACATGGTTGTCAGAATGTGAGGCTGAGGTGTGTGTTTGCTCCTGGATTTAGAGTGCTACCTGTGAATTAATCTGTGGCTTAAAGAGTATAAATCAGTGGTGGGCAACCTGTGGCCCACAGGCCGCACATGGCCCGTCAGGGTAATCCGATGGCAGGCTGCGAGACAGTTTGTTTACGTTGACCATCTGCAGGCACAGCCACCCGCAGCTCCCAGTGGTCGCGGTTTGCCATTCCTGGCCAATGGGAGTGGCGGGAAGTGGTGCGGGCTGGCTGCCACTTCCCACAGCTCCCATTGGCCGGGAACAGCGAACTGCAGCCACTGGGAGCTGCGGGCGGCCGTGTCTGTGTATGGTCAATGTAAACAAATTGTCTCGCGGCCTGCCAGCGGATTACCCTGATGGGTTGCAGGTTGCCCACCACTGATATAAATCACTATCTTCAAGATTTTCTTTAAGACTGTCTCCTGTTTTTTGCTAATACACCTCTACCTCGATATAACGCTGTCCTTGGGAGCCAAAAAATCTTAACACGTTATAGGTGAAACCGTGTTATGTTGAACTTGCTTTGATCCACTGGAGTGCGCAGTCCCGCCCCCCTGGAGCACTGCTTTACCACGTTATATCCTAATTCGTGTTATATCATGTCGCGTTATATCGAGGTAGCGGTGTACTGTTAAACTGTAATAATTCTTATTTATAATCCAGTGGCGTCCAGAGGACCCACTGCAAGGTGCAAACCCATAAGCCTTTATCCTGCTTTGGTCTCTGTATTGGTGGACTCTTTTGCCAACATAGTGTTCCTTTGAAGTCAATAGGGTTCTTTAGAAGTACTGTTTGTGTGTAGTTCAGTGCAGCATCTAGGTCAATTGAGAGACAGTCCTGCTAATATAAGGAACGCTATATCCCAAACTGTGTATAAGGCTCTTTGTTATTCCATCAAGAAAGTGGTTTTGACAGCAGCATAAACCACGAGCAGAAAGTTTGAATTATCATTGATCATATCAAGGACTAGTGTTTTCCCCCAGAGCTCTCATAGGTGGTGGATCCATCATGCATTCATACTTGCTTTTTACATATTTCCTCCCTTGAATCTCCCAAACTTTAAATTGGTTGTGATAAAATCCAGATAAGAAATGGAAGTTTTGTCCTTTACTCGTCCAGAGATTTTCCACTTTTGAACAAATAGGCTGTGAGATTATTTTAAGATTTCTCTTATGTTGCTAAAATCTTGGGAGTTCCCGGGGGACCCCTGAGAACTGGACAAAATATGAAAATGTAAAAACCCATATCTGTGCTTGTCCCATATACTAAACACACACAAATAAAATAATTTCATTTTTCCTCCTGTATGCTGTATGTAGTACTAAAGCAGTCTGTGCAGTAAGGACTCTGCAGGAGAGAAATGGGTAGATGACATCCATTGTTATCCAATTGATTTTAATTCCTTCATAAATGTGTTTCTTTATAACTGCTAAGTGCATGCTGATTAACTTGTGGAAAATAGCAGGATGCGCTTAACTTAAATTTATTAATATGTTGGGAAGTCGTGACAATAGAAGGCAAAACTGTTATTGTAAATATTGATTTTTTTAAAATAAGAGAGAACCAGAGCATGCGAAGTCCATGACTATTTACAGTTTCTATGCACTTTGAATATTCAGTCAGGTAACTTCACTCTCTCAGTAGAAATTTCAGTGACTAGTCATGGATCTGCATAATGTTATTTAGGGAGGAAGGTCCAGTTTGTCTTGAATGTACTTGGGGAGGCATAGACAACTTTAAAACAAATAAATGTCTTGTATGTTTTTCTTAAGATGGGATCTGCAATGGCATCACAGTGTGGTCAATGAGCGCACTGTTTGGAGAGATGAGCAGCTGTTGATAGGTTGTTTGTTTCATTGTTTTGCATTGTTTGTGGACAAAGAATCTGTAGTCACAAAAAAACCAAAAAACGGCATAGCCTTCCAAACGCTTATGTACAATTACAAATAGCTGCTGATATAGTTAGAGACAAGTCCTGAGAAATTTGGACTATTTAAAAGCTCCGAAAAATGATCTTAATTAAAGTGTTTTTAGAAATAAGTAAGTAAAAGTTATCTATCCAGCTTGGGTATTTTCCAAGCT